CTAGGGAATTGGGGGAAGGGGAACAGACAAGTTGCTGTCCTTTTGTTCTTCAGTCTAGTTGTGGAAGACGTCACTTCACTGGCCCATGTTGCTATTATCATTGCACTCTTCCCGGGTGAGGCAGTCAGTTGTTGGCCACAGGACGTCCACTCACAGTGGCTCACGGCAGCTCATGCCAGCTGACGGCTGCTCACGCTGGCTACCAACCACTCACGGTAGTTCACGGCAGCCCACTGCAGCAGGGACTGCAGCCTACGCCACTGCCGGCGACTCACGGCAGCCCAGCTCTAGGTCGAGCTGTTGTTCACCATCTTAGCTGTAGAGGGCACAGCGTCACTGGCCCTCATGTGGGATCCGAACTGAGGCCCTGCTGCTCAGAGCTGGCACTCCCAAGCCAACTCTTAACCAACGCACCACACGGCTGACCCCTCTGACTGGTTTTTAAAAATGGTTTCTATGTCATTTTTTATGTTTCTTTCTTTGTGTAAGTTCTCAGTGACTTCATCTATTCTTCTCAGTTCATTGAGCATCCTTATAACCGGTGTTTTGAATTCTGCATCTGGTAGGTTGCTTGCCTCCATTTTGTTTAGTTTTTTTCTGGAGTTTTCTCCTGTTCTTTCATTTGGGTCATGTTTCTTTGTCTCCTCATTTTGGCTGCCTCTATGTGTTTGTTTCTATGTATCAGATAGATCTGCTATATCTCCTAATCTTGGCAGGGTGGCCTTATGTAGTAGGTGTGCTGTGGGACCCAGTAATATAATCTTCCAGGTCACCTGAGTCAGGTGCTCCAGGTGTGTCTCGTGTGTATTGTGTGTGCCCTCCTGTTGTAGTTGAGCCATGATTGTTGTTGGCACATCAGTAGATGGGATTGACCCTCAGGCTGACTGGCTGGCTGTGAGGACTGGCTGTGACTATAGGGGATGAGTTGTGTGGGGGCTGACCCTATGGAGCAGCATTTGCTCGAGTGGGGCTCTGGTGCCTGCCCAATCACCCTTTTGGGTGTGTTGTTTGTGGCACTAGTTGGGTGGTGCTCTGATGTGGTCTAAAGCCGGCCACCAGGTGTATTGATTCTGGGGCCTCTTGGGAGGGACTCCGGTGCAGGCCAGCGTCACCTGCTGCCTGTATCCTGCCTGGGACCACCAGGTAGGAGCTACAAAGTGATCTGCAGTTAACACCTGCTTGTGCTGGGCTTGGAGGCCTCTGAGACTGGTTATGCTGTGGAATGAGGCCAGCTGCCACCAGTGCCAGGATTGGGGCCACTTAGCAATAAAGAGGTACAGGGCACACTGAGGCCAGTTGCTGCTTATTCGGAGTCTGTGGATTTTTTATAGAGCTTAGGAAAGTCCGAAGCCTGAGCCCAGGCTGGAAACTTATGTGGATTAGCTTCTGAAAGAAATTGAGCTGGGCTCATGAATTGGGTTGGGAGACTCAGAGAATCACCCGAGTGGTATGAGAGTAGTGTTAGCCAGATAGATGGAGATGCAGATTTGGCACGTCTATAGACTGTGTGTGGGGAGGACTCAACAAAGGAACAGCTCCTGCCGGCACTTTAGTCCTCAGAGAGCTGCCCCTCCAGCCCTCGCCTGAAGCCATACAATTCAGTTCCTCCCTGTATGTACTTGGCACTTTTTGAGGTGCTGTCCCTTTGCTGGAGCTTAGAGTGAGTATGAGTCAGTCTGTGCTCTGGCCCTTTAAGTTGGATGCTTGGGTCTGCAGCAGCCCTCTGTTTCCCTCAGAAGGAGTCCTCGCTAATTTTCACAGCCAAATATTGTGGGGGATCCTATTCCCAGCACTGGTGCTCAGGGCTCGGGAGCCCAGTTTGGGACTGGGACTTGTCACTCCTTAGAGGGGACTTCTGCAGCCAAGATATCCCTCCCGATTCTTTTTTTTTTTTAAGATTTTTATTGGGGAACTGGGGGATGGGAACAGCGCTGGGGATTGGCGAAGGGGAACAGACAAGTTGCTGTCCTTTTGTTCTTCAATCTAGTTGTGGAGGACGTTGCTTCACTGGCCCAAGCTGGCACCATCATTGCACTCTTCCTGGGCAAGGCAGATCAGTCGCCAGCTTCTGGATGGCCACTCACGGCAGCTGCTGGCCGCTCACACTGGCTTCCGGCCACACACGGTAGCCCATGGCAACCCACTGCAGCAGGAGCTGCAACCTATGCCGTCGCTGGCGACTCACAGCAGCCCAGCTCCAGGTTGAGCTGTTGTTCAGCATCTTAGCTGTGGAGGGCAGTGTCACTGGCCCTTATATGTGGGATCCAAACTGGGGCCCTCTGGCGTCCCAAGCCAGCTCTTAGTCAACGCGCCACTCGGCCGGCCCTCCCTCCCAATTCTTAACCAGCCTGTTTTGCATCTCCACTCCTCCTACCAGTCTCGACGTGGCTTCTTTTTTATATCTTTATAGTTATAGCAGTTCTGTTCAGCTAGTCTTTAGGTGGTTCTCAAGGGTGGTTCTGTAATTTAGCTGTAATTTTGATATGGTCGTGGGAGGAGGTGAGCTGTGTTTTACCACCTCTGCCATCTTGACTGAAAGCCCACATAGGCTCTTTTAAATCTACTTTGCTGGAATTTTTCATAAGGAATCTCCAAATTGAAATTTAAGAGGCCTTTCGAGGCCAGAAAAACCAAACCAAGCATTTGCCATTAGACGTCACCTGCAGTAGCTGTAGATTTGAGTTAGTCTCTTCTTGAGGTCCCCAGCATATCCTGAGGGTCCTGCACCTGCTAGGAATTGATCTTCTTTATTCACCTGGTAAGTCTGTTGGGAACCCTATAAGCAAGGTATCAGGCTGTTTTACAATGGGTTTGTTTGGTTTACATAAGTCAATCTTAATTCCTTAAAGCTGTCTGGTAATATCTGAGTCTATACCTTTTTCTCTCAAACATGACATTCTAGTCAAAGCCTTGTAATATAATCAGTTTTCAATTGTGTCGTTACAAGGCGAACAGATTCTTATTGAACTTATGCAAATAATATTGTCATGAAAATAAGAATCTTCAACTGAGAGTTTCTGAATTCTTGAGGGGTCAAGTAGGATGCAAAAGATAAATGTTTCAATTCTGCTTAGAGAGGTGTAATTCACCAAATTGCTTTAAGTCATAGGTAGTTAAGAGAAAAAAATTTTTCTTACATCTAGAAAACAAAAAAGTTAAGGACCCAGCAATGTTTCAAAAACAGAGTCTTAAAAATTGTAATCCTGATTAGCTCAGTCAAGTTCTGTGTGATAAAAACTTGCTCTGCTTGGGGCTGGCTGAGTGGTGCGTTGGTTAAGAGTTGGCTTGGGAGCGCCAGCTCTGAGCAGCAGGGCCGCTGGTTCGGATCCCACATGGGCCAGTGACGCTGCGCCCTCTACAGCTAAGATGGTGAACAACAGCTCGACCTGGAGCTGGGCTGCCGTGAGTCGCCAGTGACGGTCGTAGGCTGCAGTGGGCTGCCGTAAGCTACCGTGAGTGGCCAGCAGCCAGCATGAGCAGCCGGCAGCCGGCGAGAGCTGCTGTGAGCCCCCGTGAGTGGCTGTCCAATGGCTGGCGAGTGACTGCTTCAGCCGGAAAGAGCGCAATGATAATACCAACATGGGCCAGTGAAGCGACGTCCTCCACAACTAGACTGAAGAACAAAAGGCAGCAACTTGTCTGTTCCGCTTCCCCGATTCCCCAGCGCTGTTCTCCTCCCCCAATTCCCCAATAAAATCTTAAAAACAAAACGAAACAAAAAAACAACAACTTGTTCTGCTTGAATCCAGTTTTTCCATTAGTTCTCTCAACTGTGCATGATGATTGAGGGTTATAGGGTCTGTGATAATTCCCAGAAGTTTGTGAGGCTTTTTCCATCAAAGCTCATGATTTGCTCAGGGAAGCAGGTGTGTCCATCACTAAGACTGTGGAAGGCATACCCCAGGTGGGAAACACCTTTTCTAGTTTCTTTGTCACTGTGAGGGCATCAGCCTTGGGACAGGGGAGGCTTAGCCCATCTGGAAAGCATGCCTACAAGAAGAACGTGTTGGTAACCTGTACTGAGCAACCGCTGAATGAATGACATCTGCCGCTGAATGAATGATGTTCGCCACTGAATGACGTCCGCTTAAGTGTACTGTGGTGGATGAAGGAATGCAAAATCCGAAAAATGGGGTTTGCCAGGGAGCCAGACAAAAATCCAGCAGCTGCCTTGGCTTTCCCTTAGCCTGACTGTTTATTTAACTTACAGCCATTGTTTCCCCATCTTAGTTTCCCTGATTCAGGAGCAGACCGTTGCCAGGTTATGAGGGCATCAGGGCAGCCAAAGTCTGGCACTGAGGGGTCGATGTTGCAGAAGTGGAATGGACTTCATACACAGGTGCCACAGTCTTTGCCAAGTTTCTTGCTGTTTCCTTTGCATGAAAGTCAGCCCAGCATTTCAGTACAGAAGTCAGGTCTGACTGTTGAGAAGATTGTTTTCTTAAGTAATCAAATCTGATTAAGACAACATAAAATTCAGAAAATTATTTTGATAAAATACAGAATCTTGGCACTCTGTCCCTCACTCGCTGCCGACGGCCTGCCTTGCCGCTCGCACGCCTTGCTGCTGCCCCGCAGAAATGCTTCGATTACGTGAAGTCCTTCGCCAGGTTTTGCCAGTGTCCAGGGCACTGGCACCTCATCTCACTCGGGAGTATGCCAAAGATGTCAAGTTTGGTGCAGATGCCCGAGCCTTAATGCTTCAAGGTGTAGACCTTTTAGCTGATGCCGTAGCTGTTACTATGGGGCCAAAAGGAAGAACAGTGATTATTGAACAGAGTTGGGGAAGCCCCAAAGTAACAAAAGATGGTGTGACCGTTGCAAAGTCCATTGACTTAAAAGATAAATACAAAAATACTGGCGCTAAACTTGTTCAAGATGTTGCCAATAATACAAATGAAGAGGCTGGGGATGGCACCACAACTGCTACTGTACTGGCACGCTCTATTGCCAAGGAAGGCTTTGAGAAGATTCGCAAAGGTGCTAATCTAGTGGAAATCAGGAGAGATGTGATGTTAGCTGTTGATGCTGTGATTGCTGAACTTAAGAAAGTCTAAACCGGTGACAACCCCTGAAGAAATTGCTCAGGTTACTACGATTTCTGCAAATGGAGACAAAGAAATCGGCAATATCATTTCTGATGCAATGAAAAAGGTTGGAAGAAAGGGTGTCATCACAGTAAAGGATGGAAAAACACTGAATGATGAATTAGAAATTATTGAAGGCATGAAGTTTGATCGAGGTTATATTTCTCCATACTTTATTAATACAACGAAAGGTCAGAAGTGTGAATTCCAAGATGCCTATGTTCTATTGAGTGAAAAGAAAATTTCTAGTGTCCAGTCTATTGTACCTGCTCTTGAAATTGCCAATGCCCACCGTAAGCCCTTGGTCATAATTGCTGAAGATGTTGATGGAGAAGCTCTAAGTACACTTGTTTTGAACAGGCTAAAAGTTGGTCTTCAGGTTGTAGCAGTGAAAGCTCCAGGTTTTGGCGACAACAGAAAGAACCAGCTTAAAGACATGGCTATTGCTACTGGTGGTGCAGTGTTTGGAGAAGAAGGATTGACTCTAAATCTTGAAGATGTTCAGCCTCATGACTTAGGAAAAGTTGGAGAGGTCATTGTAACCAAAGATGATGCCATCCATGCTCTTGAAAGGAAAAGGTGACAAGGCTCAGATTGAAAAACAGATTCAAGAAATCATTGAGCAGTTAGATGTCACAACTAGTGAATATGAAAAGGAAAAACTAAATGAATGTCTGGCAAAACTCTCAGATGGAGTAGCTGTGCTAAAGGTTGGTGGGACTAGTGATGTTGAAGTGAATGAAAAGAAAGACAGAGTAACAGATGCTCTCAATGCCACACGAGCTGCTGTTGAGGAAGGCATTGTTCTGGGAGGCGGTTGTGCCCTGCTTCGGTGTGTTCCAGCCTTGTATCATTAACTCCGACTAATGAAGATCAAAAAATTGGTATAGAAATTATTAAAAAGGCACTCAAAATTCCTGCAATGACCATTGCTAAGCACGCAGGCGTTGAGGAATCATTGATAGTTGAGAAAATTATGCAAAGTTCCTCAGACGTCGGTTATGACGCTATGCTTGGAGATTTTGTGAATATGGTGGAAAAAGGAATCATTGATCCAACTAAGGTTGTGAGAACTGCTTTATTGGATGCTGCTGGAGTGGCCTCTCTGTTAACTACAGCAGAAGTTGTAGTCACAGAAATTCCTAAAGAAGAGAAAGACCCTGGAATGGGTGGAATGGGCGGAATGGGAGGAATGGGAGGCGGTATGGGCGGTGTCATGTTCTAATTTCTAGAATAGTGCTTTACCATTATTAACGGGAACTGTGAGAGGAAGCTCAAGGCAGTGCTCCTCACCTATAACTTCAGAGAAGTCAGTTGAAGGAAATGACTGGAGAAAAGGCTGGCTGATGTTTAAGAAAATCACTATAACTATCAGTTACTGGTTTCAGTTGACAACATAATGGTTTACTGCTGTCATTGTCCATGCCTACAGACAATTTATTTTGTATTTTTGAATAAAAAAACATTTGTATATTAAAAAAAAATACAGAACCTTTGCTTTCTAGGCAGAAAACTTTGTACAGTGTTTTATCCAGAGCAGACCAATAGAGTAGGAAAACTTTGTCCTTTTAGCAGATGAAACAATATTAGGTTTTAGCACACTATTGATATTAAAGCTTATTTTAAAGAACCCTTCTAACATTTCATTTACTCTTATCCAACTTGGTCACACATAAAAATTCTTTCACAAGATTTCTTTTTCATAAACTTTTAATAACTTTTTTGTCCCTTTTAGTTTGTCTGTTGTTCTCTTACCCGTTCAGAAATAACCAAAGCAAAATTACTTTCATTTCCCTTAGCAAAAACATCTCCATATTTCATACCTTTTTTAAGACAAAACATATCTTTTCATGTATACACAGTTGTTATCCCTATTACTGTTTTTTTCTTTTTGTAGCTTTAATTACATGTGTTGTAATTCTTAACCTTTAGTCATTTCTGGTGAAAACGAAGAAATAAGTCGTTGTGAACTGTGTTACACCAATATTGTTTAGAGTGATAACTATAAATACATTCCATAATTTCTAGCAGTATTTGCTTTTGCATAGTACAGTCTTCTAATGTGGCATACAAGATATTTACTAACAGACCCAAATTAATTTTTTTAGTTTCTTTGCCCTAAGAAGAAAAGGTAGTTAAACCTATGGTCAGTAATTATTGTTTCATTATTTTATCTTATTTGGAGATGATATAGGTATTCAATGACTGCCCATCATTTAATTAATTATTTTTTATTTTTCAATTACAGTTGACATTCAAAATTATTTTATATTAGCTACTCTGTCATCTTGACCGGAAGCTCCATCCATTCCTCCATCATTTAATTTAGCTAGCAAAACTGTAAAGTTTCAAGTTACTAAAGAGAGTTAGGAAACCATTTCTAAGTACACATAAAATATAATTATTGCAAATATATATATATGTGTATATAATTATTGCTAAAGAGTTCACCTCATGAAACCCTTTTTTTTTAATTGGGGATTTGGGGGGATGGGAACAGTGTTGGGGAATTGGGGGAAGGGGAACAGACAAGTCGCTGTCCTTTTGTTCTTCAGTCTAGTTGTGGAGGACGTTGCTTCACTGGCCCAAGNCAGTGTCACTGGCCCTCATATGTGGGATCCGAACCGGGGCCCTCTGGCATCCCAAGCGAGTTCTTAACCATCGCGCCACTCGGCCGGCCCCTAGCCTTTTTTTTTTTTAAATTAAACTTTTTCTTTCAGTTACACTTGACATTCAGTATTATATTTGTGGTGTACAGCATAGTGGTTAGACATTTAGATAACTTAAAAAATGATCTGGGCCGGCCGAGTGGCTCAGTTGGTTAAGAGCTCGCTCAAGAGTTTGAGCTCTGAGCAACAGCGGTTCGATTCCTGGCCCAAGCTGAGCTGCCACTGAGATGACTCAGCTAAAAAAAAAAAAAAGAAAAAAAGTGATCCACCCGATAAGTCTAGTACCCACCCAGCACCACACATAGTTATTACAATATTATTGACTATATTCCTTGTGCTGTACTTTATATCCTATGACTATTTTTTAACTACCAATTTCTACTTCTTAATTCCTTCACCTTTTCACCCGCACCCCAACCCTCCTCCCATTTGGCAACCATCAGTTTGTTCTCTGTATCTATGAGTTTGTTTCTGTTTTGTTTGTACTAGCTTTAGCATTGATTGATCCACTGCTTTTATTATGTTTACCTTTGTCAGTGAGAATTTTTTTCTTTGCAACATTTTGTTTATATTTTTAATTTTTTTCTTCTTTTTCTTAAAGAAGTCTCTTTAACAATTCTTGTAATACTAGTTTGGTGGTGATGAACTCCTTCAGCTTTTTCTTGTCTGGGAAGCTCTTTATTGGTTCTTCAATTTTAAATGATAGTCTTGCTGGGAAGAGTAATCTAGGTTGTAGGTAGGTCCTTGCCTTTTTCATCATTTTGAATATTTTGTGCCAATCCCTTCTGGCCTGTAAAGTTTCTGTGGAGAAGTCAGCTGACAGTCTCATGGAGGCTCCCTTGTAGGTAACTGATTTCTCTTGCTGCTTTTAAGATTCTCTCTTTGTTTTTACCTTTGGCATTTTAATTATATTGTGTCTTTGTGTGGGGCCTCTTTGGGTTCATCTTGTTTGGGACTCTCTGTGTTCCCTGGGCTTGTATGTCTATTTCCTTCACCAGGTTAGGGAAGTTTTCCGTCATTATTTCTTCAAATAGATTTTCTTTCTTTTTTTTTTTTAAAGATTTTTATTGGGGAACTGGGGGAAGGGGAACAGACAAGTTGCTGT